ACTTCCATCGTCTTATAAAATAGTTCCCGCATTGACTTGAATTGGAGTTTAAGGAAGTGAGAATAAAGTGGAAATATATGGACGAGTAAGAAAAGGGTAAATGAATGTGAGCCACACAAAAATTCCCAAAAAGGGAAATGACAACTATTTTTTGGGACGGCCCAAAAAAGAAACCGGGAACTATTTTGCAGGACGGAGAGAGTATATATTTATACTCCCTCCGTCCCTTAAAACTTTGTCATCTTTCCTTTTAATTTTGGAATGTCCCAAAAAACTTTGTCACTTTCCTTTTTAATCAATTATTTTGTGGTTTCTGTTATTTCTCTCTCCTCTGCACAAATCTAAACCACACAATTTTTACTTTATTATTCTCCGTGCCGGTCAACTTTGGCAAAGTTTTAAGGGATGAGGGTGTGTGGCAATTGACCGTTGGCTGTTGGCTGTTGGCTGATTCTGTTGGCTGATTCATGACAGCGGAATCTTGTTGGCTGTTTTGATTAGCTGATAGTATTAGCAGTTTGTAAAATGATGTTTGGTTAAGTGGCTGTTCACAATCAGCTGATTACTTATTAAAATGACTTTTAAGGACATCAATTAATTTTTTTTCAACTACTTTATAAACATATGTCGTAAAAGAAGACCACCAAAATTGAGAAACGTTGGGTAAAATATACTTTTAACACTACTTTTATACCGGTACCTAATATCAATATACATGTGGAATCCACTAAGCCTTAAATATCTAGTACAAGTTGGAGGCTTTTTAAAGCTTGATTTTGTTTATTTCAAAATTAGTTATTTATCTTATATGCTATATCTATGAACCCCTTTATTTGATGTTTTAGGTGAAGAAAGCCCACTAACGATTACTACGTATTTTTGTTGGGAAAGTCAAAGTAGCTGACCAAGAGACAACGGAGGGAGGTTAGGTAAAATAGGAACACTATGTATATTCTGGAACAGCCAAGAGCAAAATGTCACTTTTATTAGCATTTTTAATTTTGACTGTTTGAGACAAAAGCTAAGTGAAAAAGCCAATTAACCAAACACCTTAATTAACTGTTTATTTGGTCAAAGAGCCAAAAACTGGTCAAATCAGCCAAAAAATTGCTGATAGGCCATCAACCAAACACCCACATATAGTCTCTTTTACTATTTCCAATCCAACACTTAAGACCTTATACTACACCTAACATCATATAAGTACGCATGCTTTTAAAATACAATCAATCAAGTCATTTTGACCTCTTATAGCAGGTTATTTTTAAAAGTAAATTAGGACTATTGATAAATCTTGTAAAATTCCTATAAATTTGAAAAATAATGTAATAATAATATAAAAAATAATATAAATGTAAAAGTAGATAAATAATTCAATAACATTAAAAAAATCACAAACTGGAAAAATAAAGTGAAAAGGTAAAAACTAAAAAATGTAAAAACCTTTTAAATAGATGTAGAATATAAAAATGCAAAAAAATGACTAACATTCTGATCACAATTTCTAAATATATTTCTTCAAATTTAAACATTTTTTATGTTTTTAATATAAAAACTTGCTATTACATGTCAAAACTCAAAAGTAATTAAATGGTCAGATATGATTGATCTTTTTTTAAAGTAAGCGTACTTATATGATATTTTGTTTTAGTATAAGGGCTCAAGTGATACATCGGAAATAGTAGATGACTTATTTGACCTTTTTCCCTACTTATATATAATGGTTGTCGATTGGTCATCACAAAAAAGCCCAAATACAGGAAACAAAGAGACTAGCGGTCGAGGCATCCCTCAAAACCTATGTGACTTTGTTCCTCTCTTCGTTTACCATTTTGGGGTCTGTCGTCTACCATTTTCCATTTTCCAACCTTCATCACCTTTGGTTGCTGACCCGACTTCTAACCCTATTTTTGGGGGAAAGTGAACATTTTTTCGCTTGCTTTTGTAAATAGATAGAATACGGAAGTTATAAAGTTTATACTTTTATAATACTACTTTTTTTATAATAGTACTTATAACAAAGAAAGTTTTTATATCATTTTTGTATTATAAATAATTTCCAATAAAAATTATCGTTAATCAAAGTTTCAAAGATAATAAAATTTTAAGTGACTCAAGAATGTGAATCGGTCCACCGTACAACCGGCTGTACGGTGAGCACCGTACAACCGGTGGCATTTTTGTAATATAATGTGAAAATCACGATTTCTGCTATATGAGCATTAGTGTATTGTTAATGAGCAATAGTCCAATTTTAATGAGTATTAATAGTGTAATAATGAGCACCGTGTTATTATTACCAGAAAGCTTATATCACAACTAAAAACGGTGGCATTTTCGTAATTTCAATGAAAAATCATAGTTTTCGTTAAATGAGAATTAATACACTTGTAATGAGCATTACACGTATTCTACTGAGAATTAAGAGTCGAATAATGAGTATTTTGATATCACATTTTAGTATAACACAAAATGCATGTTAGTAATGAACACACAATATTTAATCAACTAATAAATGTTCATCCTAAATTAAAAATAGAAAAAAAGTTAATATCTAAAATATTTTATAATACATATATTCAAACAAAATTAAGTTAAAAGGTTGATTGGAAAAAGAAGAAGAAAACTAGGACAATTAATAATATTTTATATAATATTTTATATTATATATTTTCATAATAATTGAATATAAAGTTAAATTAGAAGTTTGCTAAAGGAAAAAACAAACAAAGCAAGGAGAAGAAACAATAAAAATAACAAAACAAAGTAAGGAAAAGTGAGCCGTCAAAATGGGCCGAAACCCACGGGCTGGCCCGTTTAAACCCATTTATTGGTGGGTTAGGGTTGCGAATTTCTGACCCATTTAGTTCGCGGGTTTCACGGGTCAACCCACGCGGGTTGTGGGTTTAAGTGGGTTGGCCCACCGGGTTGCGGGTTGGCCCGCGGGCCAATATACAAAAATATAGTTTTAAATTTTATTATCTTAAATATTGTCCTTTTACTACCAATATTATTATAATTACAAATAAAAATTACAACCATGGCAAAACAATATTTATTTCTATAATAAATTTTCAAATAAAATGTTGAAACATATATTTTATGTGAAGTTCGATACAATATTTAACAATTAGTAGTCATTATTTACAAATAATTAATCAAAAGGTTATGTAGATCTTTATTTTTATACAATGAGTATTTTTGTCGCATAACTTCCTATAGTTTTCACATTCCCGTATAACTAGTATTTAATATTTTTTAATTAAACTTAACAAGTATTGAATTTTTAGTATTTTGATTTCTTATATTTCCTTTGTTACTACTTACTAATATAAATATATACTTCCGGGTAATTATATTTATTTTTTTTTTGTTATATTTTTTTTTACATATTGCCCCGCGGGCCAATCCGTTTAACTCACGAGTTAGGTGGATCGGGTTAGGGTTGTAGAAATTCTGGCCCGTCATTAAACGGGTTGGCCCGACCCAACCTACATAGACCATAACCCGTCACGGGTCAGGTCGGGTTAAGTCAGGTTGGCCCGTTGGACAGCTCTACTGGAAAAGCCACGATAGAAAGGTAAACAACCGGCTAAAGAAAAAAATCCAAGTGCATGCTGCGGAAATAAAAGAGCTACATTAGCTAAACACCTTAAGTATAACCTTAAAGTTGTAACTAATTACCAAAATACCGGCTCTACCATACAATCTTTGTTACTAAACATATAATCTGCCTCAAGAATGTAGGATAAATTGTCCAATTTTTGTTACGAATGGGCCCTTCTTTTTAGGCTCTGTCAATAAGCGTAAATTATACTCTATCACCCGTGCACCATGGGGATGGTGTGCCTGGTCCCAAAACTCCATCCTCCGCTTGCGGTCCAGACCCTTCCAAGCCCTAGACACCCCTCCAACCACCCAACCCGTTTGTGCCCCACCGCACAACCCAAGTCGCCGAACAAAATTTATGCCGAATCGATGCAGAAGAAGGATGAAGGTTGATCTCCATCTTCGTCGTAGGGTCTGGTCACGATTTTCGTCGCAAGGGACTGGCTTCCATCTTCGTCGCAGGGGCTGGTCGTCATCTTTGTCGCAGGAGACTTGATTTGTTTTTACTCGATTGGGTTTGGAGACTCATCAAAACCAGAATCAATCAATGGAGAGCTGTTTTGTTTAAGATGACTATTATGAATTACTTCCTCCGTCCCTTAAAACTTTGTCATCTTTCCCTTTTGGGACGTACCAAAAAACTTTGTCACTTTCCCTTTTAATCAATTATTTTGTGGTTTCTGTTATTTCTCTCTCCTCTGCACCAACCTCAACCACACAGATTTTACTTTATTATTCTTTGTGCCGGTCAACTTTGCCAAAGTTTTAAGGGACGGAGGTAGTATTTTATATCTTCCTCAATTTACATGTTGGATACACTCAAGTTACATCAAGATTTGCCTAAAGTTACATATACCAAGTTACATCTAATTTGTTTTCAAGTTACATTTCAATTAAAATAGTTTACATTTCAACGAATTACATGTCAATGAGTGTAGTTTATATTTTGATTAACTTCAAGTTACATGTGAAATCACACGAGTTACATTTCATATAGTCATGAGAACATGGTGTTCACCATGCACCGATTGCACCGCATAAGGACTGGTCTAATTAGTCGTATTATTTAAAGTTTTGAAATCCCAAACAACATAACCGGGACCTTAATTTAAAATTAAAAGTTACACAACTGGCTACTTTTATTTTTATTACTCCTTATAAAATATACTATAATATAGTCAGAGTAGAGGAAAAGAAACTCACCCTTTTGCCAATGAGCAATGGCCACCCAAGAAGAGGTCAAATTACTTTCTCTTTTTCTAAAATAGGGAGTATGATTGTATGATAGATGTAAATATGTAATCATACTAATGTACAGCTAAGCATAATCTTGTAATAATTACTGTTGAAAAGTCACAGCGATAACTAAAATGCGCATAGTCCGTGTGTAACCGGATAATAGTATTGCCAAAACGACGACAAGGTTTTGACGAGCGAAAGAAACAGAGAGGCTAGCAAAGCGAGCCCCACAAGTTGGTTTGGCATCTTCCTGTTTTGGGACTCGATCGAACCTGCAACCCCTCTTCCTCTCCTGCCCTCTCAGCTCTACCCCCGCCCCCGCCAGCCAGCCCAGGTTAGCTATCTCTGAAGGTTTTCATTTTTTCCAATTCTTTGTTCTACTTGTTCTTTGTAGTAAAGTTCATATTTTTAATGTTTTTGTTATCGAATTTGGATCTGGGTTTGGCTTTTAATGGGTTGTCTTCCATTTTTTTGTGTTGCAATGTATTAGGTTCAGGCTGATTATAATATGTACTCCGTAGCTCTGATTAGGATTTTTAGTTGGTTGAGAAATGTCTTAAAGTTTTGGTCCGTTCAAAGTCCACCCGTTTTTCTTTCACGTAACAGTTGATTTAAACATTCAAATTTTTGTTGTTATTTTAGTCTATGAATATTGAGCTCTGCTCGGCTTTCCAGATCCATCTGAGTTTGAATGGGCTGAAGGAGATGAGGTTTAGGGTGTGAAGATAGTTTAACTTTGTTTCTAATCTTGGGAGAACCCCATAAAGCTCATATATTGAGTGATTCAAGTCTGGTTCTTTGGGATTCAAGTCTTCGTATGGCAGTTGCCAAGAGCAACAAGAACACTGAATCATCATCATCATCTTGTCCAAGCAATTGCTATAAAGTTGCCAATTTGGATGAAACAATATTGGGGGCAAACCAAAACGCTGACCTTAAAGACAGGTATGTTCTTGGAGGGCAATTAGGTTGGGGGCAGTTTGGCGTCATCAGACTCTGTTCTGACAAATTCACTGGAGAAGTGTTAGCTTGCAAGTCAATAGCTAAGAGTAGATTGGTCTCTCAAGAAGATGTGCGAAGTATTAAGCTTGAAATTGAGATAATGAGTATGGTTTATGGGCATCCTAATGTTGTGGATCTAAGGGCAGTGTATGAGGAGGAAGATTTCGTCCATATAGTGATGGAGTTGTGTTCTGGGGGAGAGCTTTTTCACCAGTTAGAGAAGCATGGGAAATTTTCTGAGGGAGAGGCCAGGGCTGTCTTTCGTCACCTAATGCAAGCTGTCATGTACTGTCATAATAAAGGCATTGTTCACAGAGACTTGAAGCCCGAAAACATTCTTTTAGCTACAAGAGCGTCTTCTTCTCCCATTAAATTAGCTGATTTTGGTCTTGCAACGTTTATCAAACCAGGTATGTTTTGCTATCTTTAAAATATCCTTGAGGATATGTTTGAATTACAGAAAATAAAAGCGTAAAAATGCTATGGACACTTAATTTCTTTTGTTTAGTTTTTACATTGAATAATGCTAGAAAGGAAATCTCTCAATTAGGCCTTCTTACCCAAGAAACACCCAATAAGGACACACAAACTCGTTGGAAATACTCAAGTTATCAACAAGTTTTGAGGCCTGACTCATTGCAAAATTATCCCCATGTCATAACCACATCACCTTAATCATTGCCAACTGATCAAAATCTTAATGGTTATTATTTCTTTTTTGTGCGGGGGTAAAAAAAGCTTGAACATAATGAAAACCATTAAGGTTATGATGAGTTCGCAGTGAATAGGATAGTGCTTGTGTGCCTTGGTGATGATATGGCAGCAGCATGGCCAGTGTAACCTTGAAACTTGTAACTTGCTAAAATAGCTCATTAGGTGTTTTTAATGAGTTCGTGTGTCTGATTAGGTGTTTCTTGGATACATGCGCATAATTGTCGAAATCGAGATAGTTGAAGGGCCTATTTAATGGTATTTCCAAAAAAAATAACATGATTATCATGTATCCTATCTAATACGGCCTCCTAGTATCACAAATCCGTCATTAGGCCCTCGTACGCATCAAGCACCTTATGTGATACATGAGCTCTTTAAAAAACACTCAATTTCTACCCCACTCACATTTTCTTTCCTTCCAAATTTATTTCCCTAGCATTTTTCGGTTTCCAAACAGATCATAAGTATTCTCTGGCACTCTGCTAATAAAATGTGATCGGGTTATCTTTTTTATTCATATAGGAGAGAGTTTGCGTGGTACTGTTGGCAGTCCGTTCTATATAGCCCCCGAGGTATTGAAGGGAGGTTATAATGAAGCCGCAGATATATGGAGTGCCGGTGTTATTCTTTACATTCTCCTTAGCGGGATACCACCATTTTGGGGGAAGACTAAATCTAAGATATTTGATGCTGTTAGGGCCGCTGATCTACGGTTCCCTTCTGATCCTTGGGATTCCATTTCTTGTTCAGCAAAAGAGTTGATCAAGGGAATGCTTTGCACTGATCCATGCCACAGGCTTACAGCTCAACAAATTCTTGGTAATGATTTAAGGTTGTGTTTGGTATGGATTTGTTTTCAGTGTAAAGTTATTTTGAAGGAAACATCAATTTCACTCATTCTGAATATGCTTGGTAAAAAAATTTGGAAGTGTTTTAAATCTGATAAAAATAAAATGTGCTTCTAGCTTTTTGAAAAGTCAAAAGTTTGCTTTTTCTTTTCCTCCTTCCAAAAGGTACTTTAATGGATTTTTTAAAATACATATAAGATGTCTCATATATAATGGTAAATTATCTCATATATTATGTTAAAATGTTTTTAACCCAATTCTTATTCTTTTGAAACAATTATATGCTTTTTATCTTTCTTATCTTATCTTTTTTATCTTTTTAGTTCTGATTTCATATATCGATTCATATTAGCCGACCCCAAACTCTTTTGGGACTAAATGTTGGATGTTGTTGTTTGAAACAATTTAATGATTATATGCTGCATTTCTTCTTTGCTGTTCATCATATATAAGCCTCCATGTTTCTTTGACTTTGCTATAAAAATCCACAAAAAGCCTGTGGAATCATTCCTGTTAATTTTAAGTGGTTGCAAACCATGCAATTAAATTCTTCTTTTTACCAGTGTTTTAGTTTTTCTTCTCAACATATATTTGTTTGTAGTTTATTTGTACTTTGAAAATGTATTAGCATTTTATCTTTTATTTAAAGACAATTTGTAATATACTAAAAATATTTGATTATTATACTTTGTTAGTAATGAAAATCTTAAAATGTAACTATATGTTGATTAGTATTATATTTTTATTAATTAAATAAATTCATTAAATACTTCATTTTTGTAATTTATTATGATGGGAATTGCATGTAAGTTTTAATAGTTAAGCTCTCTAAGCAATGCTTATTAAATCCATGTTTCATTTTTTCCTCTGTTTAGTTAGTCCTTTTATCTGTACTTATTGTTTTTTAATATTGTTAGGCCATTCATGGGTAAGTGACACGTTGGGACTTTTGCAAGAGCCAAATGCACATGATGAAAGAAATATGGCACGTTCAGATGGTGAAGGCTTATTCTCTTCCTCATTCATGGATAGGGATATTAGCTTTGGGACAGGGTCAGCTATAGTATGTGATGCCCCGTTCACATGCCGCTCATCATTTTCTTCTTTCCTGTCCACAACATCAACTCCTCCTCCTCACTTTGAGTCGGGTGGTGGGTTTTCTTTTCAAAGCACCACAGAATTTTCTACTCCCCTTTCCTCCATCCCAAGCTTTGCATTCTCCAGTCCAACTTGTAATGTTGAACAAGGTGCTGGCTCTAAGCTGGATCTCTTGGCAAACCCATCCAAGCAAGATTCACTTCACAAAGGTAATCAAGTTTCCTATTTTTCATTCTACTGACTTCCTCTTTATCAATGTGCCCCTTCGCTTCTCTTAGCTATAACAACAGTTTGATCGGATGATGAAGCTAGAAATAGGAAAGAAACAAAGAAAAATGTTGGACATAAAGAAATGGGAGAAAGTAGACAATGAATTAAAAATAAGTACTTCCTATGTCAACAAATAAAACCCTTGTTTGACTTGAATTGTTTTTTTGAATCAAATGTTTTGCCTTTGACTGCCAAGAGTTCCCTTGTGGTATTTGGTTGGGGATGACTATTTTTGGTAGGTGGGATATTGAATCAGGACAGTCAAGTAAGTTTTTTACTTGCATAAAAATTAAAGATAACTTTATTTAGGAATGGGTCAAAAAGGAATATGTAAGCTTTATCTGGTGGGGAGGGAGTACAATTTTTAAAGGTGTTTGGATTTAAAAATGAGAGAAGAAAACAAAATTTGTTCTTAAAGACATGTGTGTGGAATAATCACATGCATTAATGGGGTTAAAGTTTTAAATTGAGTCACATCCTTCTCCTTCACAAGTTCTCTATACATTTGAAACATTTTATTTTTAAGTGGACACCGACCCCATTGACCCCCAACAAAATATGCACTCCCTCCATCCCAACGACATTTAAGTTCAGTGAATACTAGTTCTTTAAAACTAGAAATGTTTATGTAACTTTTTTGGCAAATCGCATAACAATAGCTCCATTTCTTGAAATAGCTCAAAAAAATTTTTTAAGGAAGCTCAAAAAAAGTTTCTTATAAGGAAGCTCAAAAAAGATTAAGAAACTGAACTTTATTCTTGTGGGACTGAGGGTGTAATTCTACATCTCTCTCTTACCTCTTCCACTTTCTTTCTTCCCAGAATCTACCCAACCAAGCAAACCATGAAAAGTATTATCATCTCAAAATGTAATTGCTATTGATGCAGAGGCAGACGGTACAGGAAAGTTGTTTATGATGGACGACGCTCCCTTATGCTGTGGGCATGTGGCGGGAAGATCAGAGTGCAAAGCATTTGAGGCTGAAAGAGGTGAAGGATCAAACATGTCAAGAACGTCAGGTATACACAGCAGTAGGAGGAACCATACAATAGGACTCGGTGAACTTGACTTCATGGTGTCTGAATCGGTTATCCGTTGGGCATCGTGCACCTGTCTTCCAACCAACACTTCGCTTAGGTCTTCACTTGTCTGTTGAAAGTTGAAGATTTGGGTGTGGCCCCTGCTGAACAGGCCAGCGCCTCTCTTACTGGAAGACAATGAGAAGACCTCTTAGTATGTTCGAGTTTGTATGTTTTTGACACAGCGAGATTCTATATTGGTATCTGGGATTGAGTGGTTTTACTTAATTACTTTTCACACCAGATGCCACGTGCAATTAGGCTTTGCACCTTTGACTTTCCGGTGTTTTATTAGGTATTAGTAGCAATCCCGAACTGTTTTGGAAGAGAAATGAAACTCTAATCAGTGGTGTATGTATAAACTTTTGCCTGTTTCTTACTTATGTTTGTGTCCCAGCTATGGCATCCATGTTATATCGTTACTGAAGTTGGTGAATGTATTTATTTAAGTATACGTACATGGTACACTTCATATACATTGGATTCCTTTGGCAAATTGTGTAATTAAAAATGACTTGATGTATGTTCTTTATATTTTAATTTTTGGTACATCTCATTGACTTACCATTTTAAGATAAGAATACAGATTTGCTATCTTTGTTGACTTTGAAGAACTTTGGATTATATTAACTCAAGTTTACTTAAATTTTACTAAATAGTCTCACAGTAGTTAACTACATTTACATTAATTTCCTTGAAAAAAACTTAAATTTATTGTCCTAATGGATCAGTAGAGCTGTACTGCTGTACAAAACCAAGAATCCCAAGAGCTTATCTCGGTTTGGGAAGACTCAAGCTTAGGTCGTCGTTGATGAAACTAATTAGCTCAAGTCTTGATTCTCTTGAATGATGCCCATAAAAATGAACATATTGAAAACAAAGCTATTTTCATAAAACCATTCAAGCAACATAGATATAAAAACACCTTACTCTAATGAAAAAGTGTAAAAATAAATGAAACATAGATACTGCGTATAAAGCACTCCTTTATTCTTATGGTGATGAGTTTTATAGTTTTAAAAGGAATAATTAGGTTTAGCTTTTGGTACAACGGTCTAAAAAAGGGAAAGTTCCACTTGTTTTTATCTTTTTAAATAAATTAGTTAGGTTATTTGTTTTATTTATTCAATTATATGACATAAATTTAACTGCACTTATTTGTAGTTGTATATACACCCAGATATTCTTATTTTTAGTCCTTTTGTGTTATGTACAAATGACAGACGTAATACACTCTGAGCGCTCGATAATGATTAATGAAACAAGTCACTTAGTCAGGTAGAGTGCCCATCTGAGCTTCAAATCTGCAGTATTCTGGCTACGCTTGGTTCGAATAACAAAAATTAGGTGCCAGGAATCTGCCTGTGGGCTTTTTAGATCACTACAATTCAGTGAATTATACTACCTCTGTCCTAGTGGACTTTGTCAAGTTAAGTTGGTGAGAAATAAGAAAAGTAAAAACTGTGGTGGAGGTTTGTGCAGAGAAGAGAGAAATGAACAGAACCACAAATTAGTTGCTTTAATAGGAAAGTGACAAAGTTTTTTGGGACAACCAAAAAGGGAAAGTTGGCAAAATCCAATGGGACGGAGAGAAGAGTACTACGGTATAAAATATTGCAAGAAATTTCAAGTGACGAATTAACGGAAGTCATTTTGGTTTCTTTGTAACATGCCAAGGGCTATGAATATCTATGAGGCTTTTTCAGGAAACAGTTGTACAAATACAAATAAATAAAATCACTCAAAAGCAAGTCTCTGAGAGCCAACAAGAGAAGCATATTGACCCTTCTTATCCAACAATTCAAAATGAGTCCCCAGCTCTGCAATTTTTCCATCAGAAAGAAGAGCAATCTGATCTGCATTCTGAACTGTGCTCAGTCTGTGCGCAATCACTAAAGTTGTTCTTCCCTTCATCAAATGCTTCAATGCATCCTGCACTAAACGCTCGCTCACTGTATCCAATGCACTAGTTGCCTGCAATTTAAGTTAGAAATTTGCACTAGTTGCCGCTATTTAGACAATATACATGCAGAACTCATAATTATATGTATGCATATCATTACGTGCCATGCACTGATGCACATATCAAATCTAAGAAATGATTAATATATTACTCAGTCTCAAACTTAGAGTAATTTAAGGAGCGATGTGTAGATCCGCTTTATTGATTACCTCATCGAGAATGAGGATAGGGGCATTCTTTAGCAGAGCTCTGGCAATGGCAATCCTCTGACAAGGGTGAATATGCATCAAAGAGTTAAGCATTATGATCTGACATACTTTACCAATACAAAGCATATCATTACAATACCTGCCGCTGTCCACCACTCAACAATCCTCCACGCTCACCGACCAATGTATCATATCCCTATGTAGAGATCAATATCAAGAGGCATGAAGGAAGTAGAGTAAAAAGGTAAGAGTATTTTGCAGACGTTACAACAAACCTGCGGCAAGGAAACTATAAATTCATGAGCATTTGCAGCTTTTGCTGCCTTTATGACATCATCCTTGGATACTTCCTCATCTGGGAGACCATATGCAATATTCTCTCCAACAGATACAGAAAAAAGAACAGGTTCCTGCAAGTGAAACGTTTTGTTTAATACATCATATTTCAAGAAAGATGATAATTCCTCCTATTTGTGCACAAGGCCCATGTTTTAGTTTTATTTGCAGTAAATTCTTTGAAATAGGATTAAACATAATACATTTTTTCTAATAATACATCATTGTTTTTTCCTGAAGTTAGGACACATTTACTCCTAAAAGGAGCGTGATTAACTACTTTTGTTCTTTTTTGAGACTGCAAGAGTCCCACTTTGAGCACAAGTCAATGATACTCCCATTTGTGCACATCATCCATGTTCGACATCTATTTGCAGTAATTTCTTAAAACTACTACTAAATGAGCTCTGCCGTTCAAACTGCACATGTTAAGTGAAAATTACTTCCAGTGTTACCAAGGGTTCATGGTGTATTATTATGTACTATCTATAAACAATTAAGCTTGAAATGGAGAAAATCCAAGTAATGACTAGAGTTCATGTATGCACTTGATTCACAAGGGATACAGCACGGGCCCATTCAGTCTTATCAAATGTTCTCAAATCATCTCCTGCAACAGTAATCCTACCCCTTGTTGGCTGCAGACAGACGGAACTAATTAGACACTTCACCCAAAACACACCGAGTAAATTAATGAAAATTCAAATTGAAAACCAAGAATACCTCATAGAAACGTGCTAGTAGCTGTACTATAGTACTTTTACCAGCACCACTGGGGCCCACTAGGGCAGTAACCTTCCCACACTTCAGTGCCAAATTAAGACCACTGATGATTTCCACATCAGGCCTCACTGGATATGAAAAATGTACATCTGCAATATACAACACGTAACTTGGATTTAGAGCCTGATTGATATACCTTTTGCACAAGGGCACAAGTAAGAGGGGATAATGTACGACATAAGCACTCACCTTCAATGCAAATGTCACCAGACTGGGCAAGGCTTCGCAAATCACTACCTGACTTTAGGGATGACATGTATCTTAAGTTTCTAAATTGCTTTCCATCAGAACCATCAATAGCAAATAGTCCAATATTTGGATCATATGCTTTCTTCTGTTTCAAGTCTTTTTCCAAGGCATACGCAAGGGCTTCATCAATTTCAGCTCCAGACAAAATAGAGTTGATCCTCTCAACAGAGGCCAAAGCAGCACGGAGATCTCCGAATGTATTGACCAACCCTTGAACCTATAAGATTTGACATAAAATAAATAAGACAAGTCTACATAATATATACTAGTATTACATATAAACTATGTTCAGTACTCAGTAGTGAATGCAAGATTTGGGAAGAAAGAGAAAAATAATGCCTTACTGCAAAAGTTAAGGTAAAGGTGTATCCAATAAAAGAAGCCATGGTTCCCACGGATAGTTCACCCTAAAACATTGTGAGTAACTAAAAGTTAGTTAAGCCAGAATAAAATATACGAAGTATAACAGAAGGAATCAGGTCCAAGAACTATCTCAAACTCCTTAGCTCTAATTTACTAAGCCTTGGCATCTCCCTCCCTTTTAATAAGATATAAACATATATTCCTATAGATATCACTCTACATCTTTAAACCTATAGCCAACTTTCAGTTTGCCTATTCTCTCTAACAGGTCCATTGAAAGAGAAAATATGAAAATCAGTTATATAATACACAACTCACGAGCTCTGTGTGCTTACAGATTTCACTTTGATCCCTCCAAGACAATATAAGGTCATCAGAGAGACATATACTGCAATCCTGGTTACAGACTCATTAACAGATCTGAAAATTCCGAGTTTTTTGCCGCTCTGCTCATACTCAAGAATCTGCCAATGAATAAGTGGATTGTCAGTTTCTAAGAATCTACAACTATAACGCAATTTCTTAGCTCTACCTCGCGTGCAAACATTGACTTTTGACGTTTCTCTCCCCCGAACGACCGCACCTACAAAAGTTATACATAAATACCATAATATGTTCATCCTAAAGGCCAACTAATTACATCAAGCTGGCTAAAATATATACGAAGCAAGACAAAATGTAATTTACGTACAGTACGAATGGCAGAAAATGTCTCTGTAACACAATCAGCAATTGATGCTTGAACCAATCCATGAGCTTTGAAAACATTCACTGTCGACCTCTTGTATAGGGCTGAAATGTTATTAACACATGGTGGCGAGGAAAAATGAATATGCAACCAGAGATGCAGAAAATACATAAAATGTAAATCTTTATCTTTCCTTTTCTTTTATTTTTCTGTATGGGATCAAAGTCTCAGTTGTGACCCTTTAATTCTACTTTACGACAAATACTTGTAAGAGTGAGAACACAATAAAATATGTATATCACCATATTTCCAACAATACTAACTTATAGATAAATATGTACGTCTTTTAGAATATCATGTATTTTATATATAACAGTTTTTAATCATTTGTAATCTCTCATAGTCATACACTCGATCAAGTTACACAAGCTTGAATACTGTAGTATATATAAATAATCAAGTGTAAATGTTGCAGTTTTACTAATTTATTCAATAAACTTTACCAACTAAAGCAGATACGCTAAGCATCAATACACCAAGAATTGGTGCCAGTTGGGGAGACAGGATAAACAATAAGCACAATGTTCCAATAATCTGCAATAAAAAAAGGAAACAATCATTTGGAAAAGGAGCTATCAAGTTATATTTTCATCATATAAAGGAAATATAAATAACCATTCCCTGCTATTATCTTCCTCAAGAAAATGGAATATTGCTCCAAACATCAAATTTAGGGAAGATGAGTTCCAGCTTATGCTTACTAAAAATAACCTCAATGGGCATGGGAGGTGGGGGTGGAGGGGGAATTAAAACAATATCTCACTTTTGCTTAGATTAGTAGCTTGCCTCAGACAGAGCTCTAAAGCCACGATCCCGGGAAACATTTTCACTAACGATATTCTTTATTGAGCCTAAATCAGACGTCAATAATG